AAAAAAAAATAATAATAAAAAAATGAAAAGGATGTGTGGGTGGTAAAATCAGGACAGCTGCAGTCAGTGACTGGGGAGGGGGAAATGCACCTTGAACAGAGAATGCACTGGAGGGAGAGAGCTGAGGGAAGGATTAGGAGCTCCTACAATGTTTATTGAAAGCTTGGTTTGGGATAAAATCATTTCTTTGGGAGATGAGAGATATGCAGATTGCATAAGGGCTGCTGGTGCAGTTTGTGATAGAACAGAACCTGAGACATTTCAGAGCCAGAACAAATGGCAGATTTGCTCCAGCCTCAGGGCACGGGGCAGACAGGGGCCCTGCAGGGCTGCTCCAACATTACAGTGTGTGTGATTTCAGCTGCCAGCCCAGGTTTCTGAATCACACACCAGTTTTACCTGCACAGCCTTTTGTTTTATGGAAAACGGATAACACCCATATCCTCCCTGGGCACCCTGTGCCACTGCAGAGAGCTCCAGGCTGGGCTGTGGCCCTTGGGAAGGGGAGGGAGCCCATCAGCTGCTAATCACGACAATCCCAATTATTAAACCTGCTGTGTGCTTTCTAACAAGCTCACGTGGGCCGGTTGGGACTGCAGGAAGAAACCCTTGGAGTTCCTGCAGCTCAGTCCTGGTGGTTTCCCTCCCAGAGCTCTGTGCTCATCCCAGTGCCCAGCAGCAGAGTGAGGGGTGCCAGGGGCATCCCAGCCCTGGCACAGGCAGGGACTGCGTGTGGCTGGTCTGGTAAATCAAGGAGCACAGTTTGTGNACCCCAAATCCTGCATTTATCCCTTGCTATCTGCAGTTTTTGAACCCCCAAACCCTGCATTTATCCCTTGCTCCCTGCAGTTTTTGAACCCCAAAATCCTGCATTTATCCCTTGCTCCCTGCAGTGTTTGAACCCCAAACCCTGCATTTACCCCTTGCTCCCTGCAGTTTTTGAACCCCAAATCCTGCATTTACCTACCCCTTGCTCCCTGCAGTTTTTGAACCCCAAAATTCTGCATTTATCCCTTGCTATCTGCAGTGTTTGAACCCCAAACCCTGCATTTATCCCTTACTCCCTGCAGTGTTTGAACCCCAAATCCTGCATTTGCCCCTTGCTCCCTGCAGTGTTTGAACCCCAAAATCCTGCATTTATCCCTTGCTCCCTGCAGTTCTTGAACCCCAAATCCTGCATTTACCTACCCATTGCTCCCTGCAGTGTTTGAACCCCAAATCCTGCATTTATCCCTTGCTCCCTGCAGTGTTTGAACCCCAAATCCTGCATTTACCCCTTGCTCCCTGCAGTTTTTGAGCCCCAAATCCTGCATTTGCCCCTTGCTCCCTGCAGTGTTTGAACCCCAAAATCCTGCATTTGCCCCTTGCTCCCTGCAGTTCTTGAACCCCAAATCCTCCATTTACCCCTTGCTCCCTGCAGTGTTTGAACCCCAAATCCTTCATTTATCCCTTGCTCCCTGCAGTGTTTGAACCCCAAATCCTGCATTTACCCCTTGCTCCCTGCAGTTTTTGAACCCCAAACCCTGCGTTTACCTACCCCTTGCTCCCTGCAGCGTTTGAACCCCAAATCCTGCATTTATCCCTTGCTCCCTGCAGTTTTTGAACCCCAAATCCTGCATTTATTCCTTGCTATCTGCAGTGTTTGAACCCCAAAATCCTGCATTTGCCCCTTGCTCCCTGCAGTGTTTGAACCCCAAAACCCTGCATTTATCCCTTGCTCCCTGCAGTGTTTGAACCCCAAATCCTGCATTTAACCCCTGATCCCTACAATGTTTGAAGCCAGCCTGCCTGCAGATCAGTTTTATTCCAAAACACGTTT